GACTGTGTGAGTGTGTGACCGGGTGAGTGTGTGACTGGGTGAGTGTGTGACTGAGTGAGTGTGTGACCGTGTGAGTGTTGACCGGGTGAGTGTGTGACTGTGTGAGTATGTGACTGAGTGTGTGACTGGGTGAGTGTGTGACTGTGTGAGTGTGTGACTGGGTGAGTGTGTGACTGTGTGAGTGTGTGACTGTGTGAGTGTGTGACTGTGTGAGCGTGTGACTGTGTGAGCGTGTGACTGTGTGAGTGTGTGACTGGGTGAGTGTGTGACTGGGTGAGTGTGTGACTGGGTGAGTGTGTGACTGTGTGAGTGTGTGAATGGGTGAGTGTGTGACTGTGTGAGCGTGTGACTGTGTGAGTGTGTGACTCTGTGAGTGTGTGACTGGGTGAGTGTGTGACTGTGTGAGTGTGTGACTGTGTGAGTGTGTTGACTGTGTGAGTGTGTGACCGTGTGAGTGTGTGACTGTGTGAGTGTGTGACTGGGTGTGTGACTGGGTAAGTGTGTGACTGTGTGAGTGTGTTGACTGGGTGAGCGTATGACTGTGTGAGTGTGTGACTGGGTGAGCGTGTGACTAGGTGAGTGTGTGACCGTGTGAGTGTGTGACTGGGTGAGTGTGTGACTGGGTGAGTGTGTGACTGGGTGAGTGTGTGACTGTGTGAGTGTGTGACTGGGTGAGTGTGTGACTGTGTGAGGGTGTGACTGGGTGAGTGTGTGACTGGGTGAGTGTGTGACTGGGTGAGCGTGTGACTGTGTGAGTGTGTGACTGGGTGAGTGTGTGACTGGGTGAGTGTGTTGACTGTGTGAGTGTGTTGACTGTGTGAGTGTGTGACTGTGTGAGTGTGTGACTGGGTGAGTGTGTGACTGGGTGAGTGTGTGACTGGGTGAGTGTGTGACTGTGTGAGTGTGTGACTGGGTGAGTGTGTGACTGGGTGAGTGTGTGACTCTGTGAGTGTGTGACTCTGTGAGTGTGTGACTGTGTGAGCGTGTGACCGGGTGAGTGTGTGACCGGGTGAGTGTGTGACTGTGTGAGTGTGTGACTGGGTGAGTGTGTGACTGTGTGACTGGGTGAGTGTGTGACTGTGTGAGTGTGTGACTGTGTGAGCGTGTGACTGGGTGAGTGTGTGACTGGGTGAGTGTGTGACCGGGTGAGTGTGTGACCGGGTGAGTGTGTGACTGTGTGAGTGTGTAACTGGGTGAGCGTGTGACTGGGTGAGTGTGTGACTGGGTGAGTGTGTGACTGGGTGAGTGTGTGACTGTGTGAGTGTGTGACCGGGTGAGTGTGTGACCGGGTGAGTGTGTGACTGGGTGAGTGTGTGACTGGGTGAGTGTGTGACTGTGTGAGTGTGTGACGGGGTGAGCGTGTGACTGGGTGAGCGTGTGACTGGGTGAGTGTGTGACTGTGTGAGTGTGTGACTGTGTGAGTGTGTGACTGTGTGAGTGTGTGACTGGGTGTGTGACTGGGTAAGTGTGTGACTGGGTGAGTGTGTGACTGGGTGAGTGTGTGACTGTGTGAGTGTGTGACGGGGTGAGCGTGTGACTGTGTGAGTGTGTGACTGTGTGAGTGTGTTGACTGTGTGAGTGTGTGACCGTGTGAGTGTGTGACTGTGTGAGTGTGTGACTGGGTGTGTGACTGGGTAAGTGTGTGACTGTGTGAGTGTGTTGACTGGGTGAGCGTATGACTGTGTGAGTGTGTGACTGGGTGAGCGTGTGACTAGGTGAGTGTGTGACCGTGTGAGTGTGTGACTGGGTGAGTGTGTGACTGGGTGAGTGTGTGACTGGGTGAGTGTGTGACTGTGTGAGTGTGTGACTGGGTGAGTGTGTGACTGTGTGAGGGTGTGACTGGGTGAGTGTGTGACTGGGTGAGTGTGTGACTGGGTGAGCGTGTGACTGTGTGAGTGTGTGACTGGGTGAGTGTGTGACTGGGTGAGTGTGTTGACTGTGTGAGTGTGTTGACTGTGTGAGTGTGTGACTGTGTGAGTGTGTGACTGGGTGAGTGTGTGACTGGGTGAGTGTGTGACTGGGTGAGTGTGTGACTGTGTGAGTGTGTGACTGGGTGAGTGTGTGACTGGGTGAGTGTGTGACTCTGTGAGTGTGTGACTCTGTGAGTGTGTGACTGTGTGAGCGTGTGACCGGGTGAGTGTGTGACCGGGTGAGTGTGTGACTGTGTGAGTGTGTGACTGGGTGAGTGTGTGACTGTGTGACTGGGTGAGTGTGTGACTGTGTGAGTGTGTGACTGTGTGAGCGTGTGACTGGGTGAGTGTGTGACTGGGTGAGTGTGTGACCGGGTGAGTGTGTGACCGGGTGAGTGTGTGACTGTGTGAGTGTGTAACTGGGTGAGCGTGTGACTGGGTGAGTGTGTGACTGGGTGAGTGTGTGACTGGGTGAGTGTGTGACTGTGTGAGTGTGTGACTGGGTGAGTGTGTGACCGGGTGAGTGTGTGACTGGGTGAGTGTGTGACTGGGTGAGTGTGTGACTGTGTGAGTGTGTGACGGGGTGAGCGTGTGACTGGGTGAGCGTGTGACTGGGTGAGTGTGTGACTGTGTGAGTGTGTGACTGTGTGAGCGTGTGACCGGGTGAGCGTGTGACCGGGTGAGCGTGTGACCGGGTGAGCGTGTGACTCTGTGAATGTGTGACTGTGTGAGTGTGTGACTGGGTGAGTGTGTGACTGTGGGAGTGTGTGACTGGGTGAGTGTGTGACTGTGGGAGTGTGTGACTGGGTGAGTGTGTGACTGGGTGAGTGTGTGACTGGGCGAGTGTGTGACTGGGTGAGTGTGTGACCGTGTGAGAGTGTAACCGGGTGAGTGTGTGACTGGGTGAGTGTGTGACTCTGTGAGTGTGTGACTGTGTGAGTGTGTGACTGGGTGAGTGTGTGACTGTGTGAGTGTGTGACTGGGTGAGTGTGTGACTGGGTGAGTGTGTGACTGTGTGAGTGTGTGACCGTGTGAGTGTGTGAATGGGTTAGCGTGTGACTGGGTGAGTGTGTGACTGTGTGAGAGTGTGACTGGGTGAGTGTGTGACCGTGTGAGTGTGTGACTGGGTGAGTGTGTGACTGTGGGAGTGTGTGACTGGGTGAGTGTGTGACTGGGTGAGTGTGTGACTGGGTGAGTGTGTGACTGGGTGAGTGTGTGACTGGGTGAGTGTGTGACTGGGTGAGTGTGTGACCGTGTGAGTGTGTAACCGGGTGAGTGTGTGACTGGGTGAGTGTGTGACTCTGTGAGTGTGTGACTGTGTGAGTGTGTGACTGGGTGAGTGTGTGACTGTGTGAGTGTGTGACTTGGTGAGTGTGTGACTGGGTGAGTGTGTCACTGTGTGAGTGTGTGACCGTGTGAGTGTGTGAATGGGTTAGCGTGTGACTGGGTGAGTGTGTGACTGGGTGAGTGTGTGACTGGGTGAGTGTGTGACCGTGTGAGTGTGTGACCGGGTGAGTGTGTGACTGGGTGAGTGTGTGACTGTGTGAGTGTGTGACTGGGTGAGTGTGTGACTGGGTGAGTGTGTGACTGTGTGAGTGTGTGACTGGGTGAGTGTGTGACCGGGTGAGTGTGTGACTGGGTGAGTGTGTGACTGTGTGAGTGTGTGACTGTGTGAGTGTGTGACCGTGTGAGTGTGTGACTGGGTGAGTGTGTGACTGGGTGAGTGTGTGACTGTGTGAGTGTGTGACTGTGTGAGTGTGTGACCGTGTGAGCGTGTGACTGGTGAGGGTGTGACTGTGTGAGTGTGTGACTGGGTGAGTGTGTGACTGTGTGAGTGTGTGACTGTGTGAGTGTGTGACTGGGTGAGTGTGTGACTGTGTGAGTGTGTGACTGTGTGAGCGTGTGACTGTGTGAGCGTGTGACTGTGTGAGCGTGTGACTGTGTGAGTGTGTGACTGGGTGAGTGTGTGACTGTGTGAGTGTGTGACTGTGTGAGTGTGTGACTGGGTGAGTGTGTGACCGTGTGAGTGTGTGACCGGGTGAGTGTGTGACCGGGTGAGCGTGTGACTGGGTGAGTGTGTGACTGGGTGAGTGTGTGACTGTGTGAGCGTGTGACTGGGTGAGTGTGTGACTGTGTGAGTGTGTGACTGTGTGAGTGTGTGACCGGGTGAGCGTGTGACTGTGTGAGTGTGTGACTGGGTGAGTGTGTGACTGTGTGAGTGTGTGACCGGGTGAGTGTGTGACTGTGTGAGTGTGTGACCGGGTGAGCGTGTGACTGGGTGAGTGTGTGACTGTGTGAGTGTGTGACCGGGTGAGTGTGTGACCGGGTGAGCGTGTGACTGGGTGAGTGTGTGACTGGGTGAGTGTGTGACTGTGTGAGCGTGTGACTGGGTGAGTGTGTGACTGTGTGAGTGTGTGACTGTGTGAGTGTGTGACCGGGTGAGCGTGTGACTGTGTGAGTGTGTGACTGGGTGAGTGTGTGACTGTGTGAGTGTGTGACCGGGTGAGTGTGTGACTGTGTGAGTGTGTGACCGGGTGAGCGTGTGACTGTGTGAGTGTGTGACTGTGTGAGCGTGTGACTGTGTGAGTGTGTGACTGGGTGAGTGTGTGACTGTGTGAGTGTGTGACTGTGTGACTGGGTGAGTGTGTGACTGTGTGACTGTGTGAGTGTGTGACTGTGTGACTGTGTGAGTGTGTGAGTGTGTGACTGTGTGAGTGTGTGAGTGTGTGACTGTGTGAGTGTGTGACTGGGTGAGTGTGTGACTGTGTGAGTGTGTGACTGTGTGAGTGTGTGACTGTGTGAGTGTGTGACTGTGTGAGTGTGTGACTGGCGGCGGTGGGGATGGGAGTCGTGCGTGCGCCGCCGACCCATGCGCTGACGCAGCGCCCGCACGCCGACGTCTTGAAGTCGCCGCAGGAGTCCCGGATGGAGGCGGTGGTGAAGAATCCCTCGGTGAAGAGCAGCACCCCGTACAGGAAGAAGGCGGCCGCCACGCCGTAGATCACGAACCTCACCACCTCCACGCTGTGGCGGGAGACACGCGGGGCGGGAGACACGCAGGGAGACACGCGGGGCGGGAGACACGCGGGGCGGGAGACACGGAGGGAGACACGCAGGGAGACACGTGGGGCGACACGTGGGGCGGGAGACACGCAAGGAGACGGGATGACACGTGGAGGCATTACGAGAGATTCGTGAGCGTGCAGAGTCGCGCGGAGAGGCTCGTGGTGAGCGTCAGGGTGAGGGTTGGGTCATGGTGAGGATCATGGTGTCAGGGTCAGCGTCTGGGTGAAAGGTCGCGGTGAAGTCGCGGTGAGGTCAGGGCGAGAGGTCGCGGTGAGGTCAGGGTGAAAGGTCGCGGTGAGGTCGCGGTGAGGTCGCGGTGAGGTCAGGGCGAGAGGTCGCGGTGCGAAGTCACGGGGGACGCACACGGTGAAGAAGAGGACGTCGGGGTCGTGCGGGAAGCCGAAGTCGGCCTGCAGCAGCGCCAGCGTCCCCGACAGCGCCTCGTGGCCCCCACCACAGAAGAGCGCCACCCCCGCGTAGCACAGCACAGTGGCCAGCAGGGAGGCGTAGGGCACCCCGCCCAGGCAGCGCACGCAGCACTCCGCACAGCCTGCGGGGTGGGGGGGGCACGGGGGGCACGGGGGGCACGGGGGGCATGGGGGGGGGCACGGGGGCACGGGGGGGGGGGCACAGAAGGGGGTCGTGGTCTTCATGCAAGTCTGTGGGTCTCTGTGTGAGTCTATGGGTCTCTGTGTGAGTGTGGGTCTCTGTGTGAGTCTATGGGTCTCTGTGTGAGTCTATGGGTCTCTGTGTGAGTCTATGGGTCTCTGTGTGAGTCTATGGGTCTCTGTGTGAGTCTATGGGTCTATGTGTGAGTCTATCAGTCTCGGTGTGAGTCTATGGGTCTCTGTGTGAGTCTATGGGTCTCTGTGTGAGTGTGGGTCTCTGTGTGAGTCTGTGGGTCTCTGTGCGAGTCTATGGGTCTCTGTGTGAGTCTATGGGTCTCTGTGTGAGTGTGGGTCTCTGTGTGAGTCTGTGGGGCTCTGTGCGAGTCTATGGGTCTCTGTCTGAATCTGTGGGTCTCTGTGCGAGTCTAGGGGTCTGTGTGAGTCTACGGGTCTCTGTGTGAGTCTATTGGTCTCTGTGGTGAGTCTGTGGGTCTCTGTGTGAGTCTGTGGGTCTCTATGCGAGTCTTTGGGTCTCTGTGTGAGTGTATGGGTCTCTGTGCGAGTCTATGGGTCTCTTTGTGAGTCTATGGGTCTCTGTGTGAGTCTATGGGTCTCTGTGTGAGTCTATGGGTCTCTGTGTGAGTCTATGGGTCTCTGTGTGAGTCTATGGGTCTCTGTGTGAGTCTATGGGTCTCTGTGTGAGTCTATGGATCTCTGTGTGAGTCTATGGGTCTCTGTGTGAGTCTATGGGTCTCTGTGTGAGTCTATCGGTCTCTGTGTGAGTCTACGGGTCTCTGTGTGAGTCTGTGTCTCTGTGTGAGTCTATGGGTCTCTGTGTGAGTCGATGGGTCTCTGTGTGAGTCTATGGGTCTCTGTGTGAGTCTATGGGTCTCTGTGTGAGTCTATGCGTCTCTGTGTGAGTCTATGGGTCTCTGTGTGAGTCTATGGGTCTCTATGTGAGTCTATGGGTCTCTATGGGTCTCTGTGTGAGTCTATGGGTCTCTGTGTGAGTCTATGGGTCGCTGTGTGAGTCTACGGGTCTCTGTTTGAGTCTATGGGTCTCTGTGTGAGTCTATGGATCTCTGTGTGAGTCTATGGGTCTCTGTGTGAGTCTATGGGTCTCTGTGTGAGTCTATGGGTCTCTTTGTGAGTCTATGGGTCTCTGTGTGAGTCTGTGTCTCTGTGTGAGTCTATGGGTCTCTGTGTGAGTCGATGGGTCTCTGTGTGAGTCTATGGGTCTCTGTGTGAGTCTATGGGTCTCTGTGTGAGTCTATGCGTCTCTGTGTGAGTCTATGGGTCTCTGTGTGAGTCTATGGGTCTCTATGTGAGTCTATGGGTCTCTATGGGTCTCTGTGTGAGTCTATGGGTCTCTGTGTGAGTCTATGGGTCGCTGTGTGAGTCTACGGGTCTCTGTTTGAGTCTATGGGTCTCTGTGTGAGTCTATGGATCTCTGTGTGAGTCTATGGGTCTCTGTGTGAGTCTATGGGTCTCTGTCTGAGTCTATGGGTCTCTTTGTGAGTCTATGGGTCTCTGTGTGAGTCTATGGGTCTCTGTGTGAGTCTATGGGTCTCTGTGTGAGTCTATGGGTCTCTGTGTGAGTCTGTGGGTCTCTGTGTGAGTCTATGGGTCTCTGTGTGAGTCTACGGGTCTCTGTGTGAGTCTATGGGTCTCTGTGTGAGTCTATGGGTCTCTGTGTGAGTCTATCGGTCTCTGTGTGAGTCTACGGGTCTCTGTGTGAGTCTGTGTCTCTGTGTGAGTCTATGGGTCTCTGTGTGAGTCGATGGGTCTCTGTGTGAGTCTATGGGTCTCTGTGTGAGTCTATGGGTCTCTGTGTGAGTCTATGCGTCTCTGTGTGAGTCTATGGGTCTCTGTGTGAGTCTATGGGTCTCTATGTGAGTCTATGGGTCTCTATGGGTCTCTGTGTGAGTCTATGAGTCTCTGTGTGAGTCTATGGGTCGCTGTGTGAGTCTACGGGTCTCTGTTTGAGTCTATGGGTCTCTGTGTGAGTCTATGGATCTCTGTGTGAGTCTATGGGTCTCTGTGTGAGTCTATGGGTCTCTGTGTGAGTCTATGGGTCTCTTTGTGAGTCTATGGGTCTCTGTGTGAGTCTGTGTCTCTGTGTGAGTCTATGGGTCTCTGTGTGAGTCGATGGGTCTCTGTGTGAGTCTATGGGTCTCTGTGTGAGTCTATGGGTCTCTGTGTGAGTCTATGCGTCTCTGTGTGAGTCTATGGGTCTCTGTGTGAGTCTATGGGTCTCTATGTGAGTCTATGGGTCTCTATGGGTCTCTGTGTGAGTCTATGGGTCTCTGTGTGAGTCTATGGGTCGCTGTGTGAGTCTACGGGTCTCTGTTTGAGTCTATGGGTCTCTGTGTGAGTCTATGGATCTCTGTGTGAGTCTATGGGTCTCTGTGTGAGTCTATGGGTCTCTGTCTGAGTCTATGGGTCTCTTTGTGAGTCTATGGGTCTCTGTGTGAGTCTATGGGTCTCTGTGTGAGTCTATGGGTCTCTGTGTGAGTCTATGGGTCTCTGTGTGAGTCTGTGGGTCTCTGTGTGAGTCTATGGGTCTCTGTGTGAGTCTATGGGTCTCTGTGTGAGTCTATGGGTCTCTGTGTGAGTCTATGGGTCTCTGTGTGAGTCTATGGGTCTCTGTGTGAGTCTATGGGTCTCTGTTTGAGTCTACGGGTCTCTGTGTGAGTCTACGGGTCTCTGTGTGAGTCTATGTGTCTCTGTGTGAGTCTATTGGGTCTCTGTGTGAGTCTACGGGTCTCTGTGTGAGTCTATGGGTCTCTGTGTGAGTCTATGGGTCTCTGTGTGAGTCTATGGGTCTCTGTGTGAGTCTATGGGTCTCTGTGTGAGTCTATGGGTCTCTGTGTGAGTCTATGGGTCTCTGTGTGAGTCTATGGGTCTCTGTGTGAGTCTGTGGGTCTCTGTGTGAGTCTATGGGTCTCTGTGTGAGTCTGTGGGTCTCTGTGTGAGTCTGTGGGTCTCTGTGTGAGTCTATGGGTCTCTGTGTGAGTCTATGGGTCTCTGTGTGAGTCTATGGGTCTCTGTGTGAGTCTGTGGGTCTCTGTGTGAGTCTACGGGTCTCTGTGTGAGTCTATGGGTCTCTGTGTGAGTCTATGGGTCTCTGTGTGAGTCTATGGGTCTCTGTGTGAGTCTATGGGTCTCTGTGTGAGTCTGTGGGTCTCCGTGAATGTCTGTAGACGAATCCAATAATCCATTGCTGCACTGCCGTCTCTTGCCCACCGTGCGGATGGCGATGCTGCTGATGCCACTGATGGCGATTGTAATGGGAATGCAACTGATGATGCTGCTGATGATGCTGCTGATGATGTTACCGCCGTTGCTGTTGCTGATGCTACCGCTATGGATGCTGATGATGATGCATTCTGCTACTGATGATGTCTCCCTCTCCGTCCTCCCTTCCCTCCCCTCCCCCCTCCCCTCCCTCCCCTCCCCCCTCCCCTCCCTCCCCTCCCTCCCCTCCCCTCTCTCCCCTCTCCTCCCTCCCCTCCCACCCCCCTCTACTCAGTCTTTGTATCTCCACTGCTCTCCCCGTGGCGCTCGAGGCTGCTCCCCCTTCTCTCTCTCCCCCCCTCGGTGGGGGTGGAGGGGAGGGTGGGAGAGCACCACGTGATTAGAGCCCCCCCCCTTCCACTCCCCCATCAACAGTGGGGGGGGGGGGAGGGGAGGCAGCTGCAGGTTCATCAACAACACCAACGGGATCATCATCATCAGCAGCAGCTGCATTGTCAGCAGCAGCAGCATCAGCAGCAGCTACATTACCATTTTCATCAGCAGCAATAATCATCATTACAAGCACGATCACAGCAGTGACCACAACAACCCCAACCACAATAACTACAACAGCCACCACCAAGACAACGGCCAATATATAACCACAACCATAACCACAACCATAACCACAACCATAACCACAACCCTAACCAACAACAACCGCCATTCGCCACTAAGTGGCGGTGACGTCACCACGACGCTTGTGCCAGGCTATGTGCACCGTGAGGCCACGTGAAGTGTCGAACGCCCGCTGGCAGGAGGTCACTGGGCAGACCCAGGTGCCACGGGTCGACTGACTGAGATGACTGGCTGATGCACCACCTGTGCCCCCTACTGTGCCAACATAATGTGCTTTAGCCACCCGGCGCTCCGCTCGTTGTTCTGAGCGTCGCTCCTCCGCCCTCCGTTGTTGTTGGAGGGCGACTGCCTCCAACTGCCCAGTAGCATCCTTCACGAGCCTCCTCCACAGAGGCCGATCTTGACACCGCTGGTACCAGTCATCGGCAAGTCCACTCAGCTCCACGTCCTCCTGCACCACATCACTCCATCTCTTCTCTAGCCCGTGCCGCGCCCGCTTAGCCCCCTCAATCCGGCCAAACAAAAGCTGTTTCGGCATGCGGTGGCTGGGCATGGGGGCTACATGACCCAGCCATCGCAGCCTTGCCTGCCGGAGGAGCTCACCGATGGGACCCTGCCCAGATCTTTCAATGATTTGTGAGCTCCTCACACAATCCAGTCTGGTTAAACCCAGGATGGATCGTAGGCAGGCCAGCCTAAATGTTTCTAACCGGCGAAGATGTTCCATTAGGGGGGTCCACGTTTCGCAAGCGTAGAGAAGGGAGGGAATGACCGTGGCCGAGAAGACCTGAAGCTTAGTGCGGAGCGACAGACCAGGTAGCTTCCACACAGCGTTACGCAACCGATGAAAAGATATTGCTGCTCGACTGATTCGGAGTGAGACCTCTGCTGTTAAACTGGAGCCAGTCATAAGCACACTGCCCAGGTATGGGAAACTCACCACTCTCTCCACAACTGCCCCATCACCGATTGGGAGTTGTGGGGGTGGAGTGTCCGATGGTACAAAATACCCAGGCAGGTGCTTAGTTTTGGTGGGGCTGATGGTAAGGCCCCACCTCTTAGTGGC